ACCCCCACCTTGCCTCAGTGGCTACTGCCAGTCAGTTGCTACTTGAGGCAACTTAAACTTAAGCATACTAAGTTTTCTAAGGTTTCAAAAATGATACAAGGGGCCTTCTTCCCTGTCTCTGTTTTCTCTTTCCCTCTAAGATGTACAAATTCCCTTTACATACAGTTATCAGACAGGTTTTAAAAGAGTCCCTCAATTTTACATGGTTAAATACAAAACTGGTACAATTGTAACAAGTACAGCATTAACCAGTTCAGCAGAACCACTGATGTGCTTAAGTTAGTCAACACCTGGAAGAACGTCTGGAAGAAAATTACTTACATTTTCACTTTTGATTCCAGGGGCTGCAAGTTGATAGGATATTTTTCGATATTATTCTCCACATCCATAGCAATCTGATGGCTATAAAAAATGTTTTAATCTATTTCAGCTGACATTTTTATAATCATTATGAAACTATATTCAGACATTTTGACATGTACATAGCAGAGCTACTTATTTAAAAATGCCATTGGTGGCGGGGGAACGACACAGCATCCAACCCTGCTTAGAAGGGTACCAAAAAAAAATTGAATTCCAAATTACAGTCCCTATCCTGCAATCAGATGCATGCAGACTTCAACACTAGACCTTTCAGTTTCAGATGCTATAGCACCAAAGACAAATATGCCTGGTGAAGAAACTGATGGACATAAAAACCAGTGACAAGTATAACTTCCATCCCAGAGGCTATACTTGAAAATCTGGCAAGTAAAATGGAAATACTATAAAGCAAATTAATTACAGTAGCAAAAGTCATGCAAGAATGAGAAAAGAGATTCTTATCAACAGAAGTTGACAAAGGAATTTATGCTGCCAAGTGTGATAAATTTAAGAAAACCATAAAAATGCTGAAAGATAAAACTGAAGATTTCAAGAACAGAGGTGAACTCACACAATGGGACATTGGCTTGGATGGGACTAATTGCATGAGCGAGGTCACTGGGCATGAGACGAGTTCACAAGATGAACTCCACAAATGTGAAATCCATTTTTATTTTGAGAGTTTGACACCCAATTACATCATTTAATCAGCAGAAGTTTTCAAAAGTTATCCTCCCTTATGTAAAAATCAGCAAATATTTAGGTGTGAGATATAAAGCCATAAAAATTCTTCAGCATCTCTCCAAGTGAAATATAAAATGTTCACACAAAAAAACCCAAACAAAAAAACCCTCTGCAAGTATGCCTCAGAAGGCAATAGTTACAGAGCAAACTTGTATTAAGAGTACATATTTAAAGCAAGTGATTACTCTTTACTATGTCCCCTTTTGTGTTTTGCTATTCGACTTTGTACAGCTCAAACACCTGCTCCCGGTACTGTCAGTCCTGACAATAGTTGTAGCATCTTCAAACAATATATTTCTTTCAAACTATCTTGTCCAGTGCGCTAATCGTTATACTAAAAAAATATTGCTTGAGTGACAGCAATTTTTTACTACATTATCTGAAAATGCTATGCAAGCCACTCCAAAATCTTTTCATACGTACCTTTCAAGTAAATATTTGTCATCACTAACTTGTTCTAAGGTATGCTGCAGCCTTTTGGGTTCTTCCTGCAAGGAAAGAAATAACAGATTTCAACACACTGACTTTATTATTATTATTAACAAACATTTATATTGCAGTAGTGCCTGAGGCCTCACCCAAATCAGGACGCACTGTACAAACATATAGTACAAACAGCAATTCCTGCCCCAATCATTATCTAAACACCTATTCTTAGATTTCTAACCAAATTTATTTATCTCAAAGTACCTTACAAAGATGGTCAGTATCATTATCACTAGCTATCCATGGGGAAACTGAGGCACAGAGGTGAAGTGACTTGCCCAAGGTCACCCAGCTTTGCACACACGAGAGCACACATGTTTCTATTTACAAATGCATCCAAAGGTACTTCAATAAGTGAGCAAAATAGACAGAACCACCACCTCCAATGAATCATATACCTTAAGCCTCAAGGAGTTCCAAATGCCAAATTCACAAAAGCGAAAGGCAATCGCCTATATATTATCTTAGCCTATGCTTCACAATAGCCAATACCTAGCTACAGAAAGTATCACATACTGTAATGGCCAGGGTCACAGAATCAACAACGCGCCCAAAGTGTGCACAACTTAATGTCAAAACAAAACAAGCCTCCACACACACACACACCTCAATGAAACAGTTTATCAGAAATCCACTGTAACTCCCTCAAAACTGAGAAACTTAGTCAGCTCTGAAAGAGTTTAAGCTTTAGCAGATATTTCTTGCACAAATTGGAGGGGTTTTTTTTCCATTTTCTTTTTAAAGTCATCTCTTCCCTCACTGTGTTGTGTTTTTATTCTGTACGTATAAAAGAATACTATGACACTGAGTGCTCCCTTCATAATCCACTATTTGGGAAACTTTAGGCTTGTTACGTGAGCACCTAATTTAGAGTTAGGCATATTCCCCCAGCCTGGATGAAACTGTTTAACTATTACTCCAGCATGGTATGTTTTGTAATCCAAAACAAACACCTAATGGCAACTGAGGGGAAAACAGTAAATTCTTCAACATGCCCAGGACTTTCCCTAAAAAATAGGTACTGAACCTTCAAAAACTAGTCTGAAGGTATGTCCCTATTGTTGTGTACTTTTCTTTTCTGATTAAGAAAAAGTAGGCATGGACAATAAACTGCCAAGAGTTCTCACTTCCAGCCATTTCCTTTTGTTCTACCACTGAACAATGCTAAGATCTCATAATTAATGGAATCACGAGCTGGGACTTTAAGCCCAACATCTTTACTGTGGTGTCAGCATTAGTCCCTGTTTTTTGTAGAGGAAATTCCTTAGATCTCTCTTAGCAAAAACATGTCAGAGAATGTTTAAATCCAAACATAGCTCAAATCCACCTCCCATTCCAGTTAATAGGAATTCTCCCCGTGAATTCAATAGGAGTTCAACCTAGCCCATAAATCACAGCACTGAGCTACTGTTTGAGAAGCAGAAACTCAATCTGATTGGCAGGTTTTTATTGTCCAAAAGGCGTGACAAAAGGAAAAAGGCCACTTAAATTTTTTAAGTTCCTTCACTTTTAATAAAAACAATTAGTAACCAATGAGAAAATTGGTTTACAAATATGACTGAAAGCAGGATTTTTAAGCCTGATTGTGTTTAGTTTTGTTTTGCTTGAAACATAAATCTAAGTAACAATGAACTGCTGAATAAGGATTAGGGCAGCTCAGGACAAGGCTATTGGTCACCAAGGTCCCCTAGAAAAGCAATCCAAAGCACCTCTAGGGTCTAGGCTGGAGTACAGCCATATTCCTTTACTCCTCCCTGACAGGGAATGAAATCTCAGAACATACTGCAAAAAGATTCCCGATAACACCAAGCACTGCTTTCTTACAATGAAAGGGATACAGAGATGACTATTAGTCAACTCCCATATAGAGATAGAGCTAATCTATCTACATCTATCTAGTAGTGCATAGAAATTCTAGGGAGCAGCACTGATATTGAATATTTGTATTATAGTACAGTACAGACCAAGAGGCCCCAATCAGTGATTTAGGGGCAGAGTGTAGGAGCAGGCTCATTGTGCTAGGCACTGTACAGATGTGTAGTACAAAGAGTCCCTGCTGAAAGAGTTTACAATCTTGGATAATGACAAGATGCTACAGATGGATGAAACAAACAGGGATGTATGAAAACTAAGGCCTGGTCTACACTACGACTTTAATTCGGATTTATCAGCTTTAATTCGAATTTACCCTGCAACCGTCCACACAACGACGCTATTTATTTCGATGTAAAGGGCCCTTTAAATCGATTTCTGTACTCCACCCCGACGAGCGGA